CTGTCTCCTTGCTCCCTCCTGCCCCGCCCCAGGTAGCAGCTGCCTGACAGGGCATAATATGAGGCGTCCAGAAAAGCGGGGACTGTGCTGGTCACCCTGGTGGGCCAGCACCCAGCGGAAGGATAGAGCACTGATAGAGCACTAGACCCACTAGTCAGTTGACTTCTGCGAGCTTATGAAGAAGTTCAGTAGGAAGAAGCAGAGACCATAGTGATTTATGCTTTCAAAAGGTCTTTTGATAAAAGCCTTTCCAAGAATGAAACAAACTTGGCGGCCATGGTATGAAAAGTCCCATAATGGATTGAAAATTGAGTCAGAACTGGCAGAATGAGGGAAAAATCCATTACAAGTAAAAGGCCAGTGTTCCAGTTGAGGAAGAAGAGTTTACTGGGTGGAAGGGGCTGGTGGGACCATGCCTAGCAGAGATGAAAGCAGTCCTCTGAATACTATTACAAAAATCAGTGAAGGGAGAAGAAGGATAAAAAGGCAACAGCATCTGCTGCCAACAGAGAACCATGCATTATAAATGCAAGCAAGTCTTGGCAGGACTGGGAGGGACTCCAGAAGATTCTAACTAAACTTGGAAACTAAACCACCATGACGGAGAAAGTTCAGTGCACACAAATGTCAAAGCAAGCTGGTTTGGAAGAAATTGGGCAAGCCTCTTACTCTGAATTAGATGTTGTGTTGTGGGGCTCAGCAGCAGACAGGGCAATGACTGTTCAAGCATCACACATAAGACACTTGCAGCATGGGTCAGCATGAAAACCATGTCACCCTATAAGCTGGGTACCCATCACAGTCTGTGCCCACTTGCCCACTGTGAAGAAGGACCTAAAGAAACATTGTAAGATGGACCATACTGAGTCAAGATCCAAAGTCCATCAAAGGCACCATAGAAGAATAGAAACAGGATCAAACGCAGAGCTGGATGGGGGACTTTTTCTGTGAAGGGAGGTTGGGGAATAGAATATTATTTCATTTGCAGCAGGGATGAGGAAGGCTACAAAACAATAGTTCCCTTTAGCAACAACTGGCTGATGCTTTTGGTTTATTTGTGCTCTGCAAGTTGAAAAGAGAGACGTAAAGGTGCTTTTAAAAATAGTTGCAAGGAAGTTTGTGCTTTGCCACTGCCTCAGTACTGTTCCCGGCTGGATGCGATCTGCTGATAAGCTCATACCTGGCCTGAACTCAGCCGCCCCTGCGTGCCAAGCCACCCGGAGCAGTGCACCGGCTCAGGAGAGGTTGCCAACACCCACTGGATGCAATTGCCTTGTGGGCAGCCTCCAGCCCTGGGCAGCAGCTGGTGAAGCCCTGCCTGTGCACCGAAAGCCTGCTCACATCAGTGCCCAGCTGTCAAGGAGTGGGGACTACACTGCAGGGCCAAATGTGGTCCCAAGACCCATGCAGTAAGAAATGGAAGGGGGGTCTGTGTGTAAATAATTTTCTAGTATGACTTGGCTATCAGGCCCTTTTTTATTTTTATGAAGTTACTAAAGAACCATGTTGATTCTGAAACAAGTTTGGGGGACCAGAGAAGTGACATAGAACAAAGGCATCTGTCCCCTGTGTGTGGCAAGGCAGCCGGGTTGGGAGGGGACAGATGCCTTCTGAATTTCCAACTTTTCCTGCATACAGAAACCTTTGTGGAGAAACCAGAGAGGGAGAAATGCCACACATTCTACAGGTGGCTGAACCAGAAAGGTGGGAGCTTTGCCACACGCTCTGTGTTCCCAGGGAGGGGAAATGGTTGGCTATTTCAGTCAGTGTTTCTGGGTGCCCCCAGCTGCCAGTGCTGTGCCGGGGCCATGGATCCACAAGAGAGGTAGGCTTTTGGCGGAGAAACAAAAGCAAAGCTTGGAACTACTGTCATCAAAGAGGAGCGAATCATGCTCCTGCCAAGAGCAGAGACATTGGGCCTGGTGTCTGGGCTACCGTGCAGTGCAGGTAGTGAGCACTGAGGGGAAGACGTGATGCCCTGCTCCACAGCGCAGTTTCCTCGGTATTGCGAAGCCCAGGCAGCCTTGAAGATCCACAGCAGGATGCTTCCTCCTTACCTCCTTACCTCCTTACCAATCCTTTGCTTTCTGTAAGGGGATAAAAGGTGTTGCAGACACATGAGACATTGATTGCTGGCAACTCGAGCTGAAAAAAGAGGAAGGCTAATCCTCCTACTTTCCTACTCTTTTTTTTTTTTCTCTAAGTCTCTGTTCCATACATCATGTGGTCATAAGAGAATCTAATTATTCAGCTCAAAAAAGCATGCTGTTCATGTTAGCTAGCACAGAGAAAAACATGAAAACTCTGAAGTGTGAGTCAAAGACTAGATTCAAAAGCAAATGTACAGAATTCAACATTACTGGTTTTATTTTTTCTTAGTTATGTTCCTTAGGTGACTGACTGTATTTTGGAACCTGTCTATCGAGCATTTGGGATTAGCTCTCTTGGAAGGGCATGGATGTGGGCCCTCTAGTGCCACTTGGGAAATGCCAAGATACCAGCCCACAGCTCTTCAGGGGGAATTGTTCCTTGGCAAGTACCAAGAGCATAATCAGAAATTTGGGAGCACTTCAGATGGTCAAGGAGAAAAACAGATCAGTTTTTCTCTTTATGTCTCCTGCGTAAGGCTGGTCCAAGTGGATAATAGGTCTAGCAGTAACTCATAGCAGCAGGAAACTGCCCGTTCAATGGTTGCCTGATGTCCTCTGTGAAATGAGAGTTCAGCCAGTGCTGCTTTGTTTGTCTGTGCATGGACACTTGCTATCTCCAGGCATATAGAGCAAGCACTGTTAGACATATCAAAATAATTTCTAAGAAGTCTTCTGACTCCAAAGCTCAGTGCCTTTCAGTTTGTGTGCAGTGAGCTGAGAAAGCATGCACACTAATTGCTACTGAAGTCGGCAGTGGTTGGCCCCCCAGTACAATGCCAGGATGCTGGGCAAACTTCTGCCCCTCCTCCCAAGTTCAGGTGTGTTTGGGATGTGCAGCTCAAAAATGGCCAGTTTGTTACCTCTGATATTGTCGATGGATAAAAATCTACAGGTTCAGGATGTGGTGGATGTGACTGTGTCTGTTGCAAATGGAGCTGTTCCAAAATGCACACCAGAACTTCTAAGTGTCATTAAAATGCTGAAGACCCATTGAGGAGCAGGTGTTGGGTGGTATATGGTAAAGGCTTTCTTAGTGAAACTGTTCATAAGAGGAAGTCTGCTGATGGAGGGAGGATCCTACAGTCACCTCCAACAGTGATGTTATAAACAGAATGAATGGTGTTCATAAACAGAATGAAAAGCAGCAGCAGCAGCAAAAGCCAGTAATGCACCAAAAGATATGGTCAGCCTAAATCAGACCAATTAATTAGCTGTACTGATGAATTAATATGCTAACTAATCCACATCTCCTGAATCCTCAGCTCCAAAGCTCATCCCAGGCAGAAGGTTATTGCAATGGTGATGCTATGGAGAGGCCTGGAGCTCTGTCCCAGAGCTGAGTTGTGTATCTGTATGACCAGTTTGCATTTGTGAAGTGCATACATTTCACAGAATCATAGAATCGTTAAGGTTGGAAAAGACCCCCAAGATTATTGAGGCCAACCTTTGACCAAACACTACCATGTCAACTGAGCCATAGCATTAGGTTCTAGATGCAGTCATTTCTTGAATGCTTCCAGGAATGGTGACTCCACAGCCTTCCTGAGCAGTTCATTCCAATGCTTGACAACCCTTTCAGTGAAGAAATTATTCCTGATGTCCAGTCTGAACCTCCCATGGTGCATCCTGAGTCCATTTCCTCTTGTCCTGCCACTTGTCGCCAGGGCGAAGAGACCAACCCCCACCTGGCTACAGCCTCTTTCATGTGGTTATAGAGAGTAATGCGGTCTCTCCTGAGCTTCTTTTTCTCCAGGCTAAACACCCCCAGCTCCCTCAGCTGCTTGTCATCAGACTTACTCCCCAGACCCTTCACCAGCGCCACTGCCACAGAACAGAACACGGGTTTTGAGGTGTGGCCTCACCAGTGCCGAGTGCAGGGGGACAATCACTGCTCCTGCTGGCCACACTATTGCTGATACAGGCCAGGATGCCACTGGCCTTCTTGGCCACCTGGGCACACTCTGTCTCATGTTCAGCCATCTGTTGACCAGCACCCCCAGGTCCTATTCTGCTGAGCAGCTTTCCAGCCTCTCTTCCCCAGCTCCATGGGGCTGTGTCCCAAGTGCAGCACCCAGCACTTTGCCTTAATGAACCTCATACCGCTGGCCTCAGGCAATGATCCAGCCTGTCCAGATCCCTCTGCAGATCCTCTCTTTTGTACCAGAAAAAGTGAACAATAAGTGGTTCTATGCACGTAGCAGACTAAGAAGAGTGTGCATATTTGTGTATGCTTGTGCTGGCTTAAGGAGTTGTGTATGTGCATAAGAATGAGTGCTAGTGAACACATAGCAAGACACCGAGTGGCCATCACACATCTGCGAGTGAGCGCTCGAAACTGTGGCACAAACAGTGTGAGCTATGACAGGGAGCAAGAGTGAGCAGGGCTGTGTGAGTGCTCATTCACTGCCAGAGCTCACTGGGAGGTTTTGCCAGCCATGGGGAGTGTGGGTCTGTACCAAGAGCAGGGCAGAGGAGCAGTGCTGTGGGCACAGGCACCCACACACATGGGAAGGGAGCAGGACGGGCGCGTGGCACTGCAGTGCTGGAGGGGAGATGCAGGAAGGCTTTTTCCCAACTGTTTATACAACATGGTTTGACTCAGCAAAGAATTAACATGGTAAAGAAAAATCTAGAAGCACTCTTGCCAGCTACAAGCAGAGTGATCAGCATACACAGGATGTGGTAAGAGCTAAAGGCGTCCCGTTATTAACTTCACTTTTATTTCAAGGGGATTCACTTCTCTGTTCTGGTTCCCATTTGAGAAGTGAAACCCAAGGTCACGGTACCATCACAAAAGAAATACTGGTCACAGCTCATTTGTTTTCCTTCTTTATTATTATATTTTAAAAGGTTACTTTGCTTTTCCTTGAATGGAATTTATTGAAATTGCTGGTAACACGTGAAGTCCTCACTCTCTGTTTCTCTGCTGAGGAATTATCCCATTTGCTCTCATTTGAAAGTGTTGACTCTGAGGGGAGTGTTTATACCTCACAGTATGGTGCAACCCAGAGCAGAGGGAAAAACACAGGCTCCTTCTAAGCACATCCAGAGCCTGTGCACTGCTCACAATGTGCTTTGTAAACATTTATTCATTCTTGTACACACGCTCCCTTCCCTCCCCCATCAGGTGAGGAAATATTATTGTCACCATTTCACAGATGGAAGAAGTGAATGCAGATAGGTCTGGTGACTCACCCGTAACCGCTGAGGCTGATTTAGAGCTGAGGCGTTAAGCTCCCAGCCACCTAATTTAATCCAGCAGGTCACGTTCCCACCCAGGCCTGCCAATATAGGCAGTGCCAGCTCCATCTACCTGCCACCCACTTGTCCTGTGAAGCAGCAACACTCATCTCTGCGTTTGCAGAATGAGATCAGATTGCTGCGGCTTACTCCATGCGGTGTTGTCATCAGAGCGCGATATATCATTATGATATCATGATGTTATTAGGCCTGAAACTAACGCAAGGCCACGCACAGAACAGAGGTAGGCAGTGGAAAATCAGCGACCGTGTGCTCCTCCACCACATCACAGGCACACACCCTGTACCAGGGTGTTGGTTGATTCCACCACACTGCAAGGAACTGCAAGCAATCTGCGTGCTGGGCAGGCTCTCCCCACCTTCTCTTTTGGGGCCTGGGTTAATTTCTGCCCATACAGTCCTGGTGCAAATGTCTGAGGGAGGAAAGAAGGCTCTGTGAGGAGATGGAAGGAAAATGTTTGCACATGGTCAGGAGACAAAGATCACGGCCCCAGCTCTTTGTGAGCTGTTTTTAAGTGCTGAGCACTTGCTGGAAACTAAGCCTCCTAAAAGTGGTGCACTACAAGCATTGGGAAACAGAGCCTTCAGTGTCTCATCACAGCTGAACATCCAGGGCCACATGTTGCCACTGCTCTTTGCTTTTGCTTTGCTATTTAAAATCCTCACCTATCTTACCCTCTCCCACACAGAATCAAGAACAACAACAATAATAAAAAAAACCCCAGCTCCTTATCATCTTCCTTTGCTTTTCACACTGTTTACACAGGGCATGATTTCACTCATGCCCAGCTCATTGCAGACGACTCAGATTAGTCAGTTCCCCTTTCTGAGACTGGCTGGTCTGGCTGGCTGGGACTTGGGCCACATGAGATGCTGCTGCACCCAGCTTCACGTTGCTGGGAGGGGAGGTCAGCTTTCCTTGCATAAATCTTAACTTCTGTTTTAAAATAAAACACTTGGTATTTTCATCTTTGGAATATAACCTTTGTAATAGGTCATTTCAGTGAATCTGGTGTTGCTTTTTTTGCCTTGTCACGTGAAAAACTTGTTTGCATTCCCATGACGAAGTTTGCAGAAAGATCTGTCTTGATTTTAGTGGGCTTGGGACCTGTCTTTCAGGGGCTGCTACGGTACCTGTTGAGAACAATGGCAAAACATCCACAAATTTCAAGGTGTGAGAGATAAAAAGTACTCGAAAGTACTTCACAGTGGGAAGGGAATGCATTTGAGTGCCAGGACTGTTCAGAGGCCTCTCTACATCTCTTTCAAGCACCATGTGTGCGTTTGAAGTGCATTGGGACTTTGTAGGGAAATGGGTGAGTCTTAAGCATCTAGAAGGCAGATGGGTAGTTCTTCCTGTGGCCCTCCTTTAGCTTTAGGAACTAAGTGCCACTCACACTGTGCCAGAGACAGGAGTTGCAGAGAGTCAGGACAACACCTTTCTCGGTTTTTGTCTCTGCAGTTGAGGTTTCTTTTCCTGCCTGAGGGTTAAATGTGGGTTTTCCTCGGAGGGCAGAGTAACCAGTGGCAGGAGAGCCTGGACTGGCATGTGGAAGAGCCTCAAGTCAGCACCGTTCATCGACAGAAACAGAAGATTCATTGTTGTTGAACTGGCAGAAATTTAATCTCCTAGTTAAAATATTACTGGGCTCTACTTGCTCTTATCCTTGCACAGTGCAAGGGGCAAGGGGCTCAGTAGGTCAGCTGGCTATTACCTGGCAGCAACTGCAGGGACCCGGTCAAGGCCCAGAGTGTGACCTGTGCCTCCTTGGTTAGATCCTTTTCCACAGTTCATGTTGTTCTTTTATAGCCCCTGTTCACGCTTCAGTGTGCTTTGTGCTAAACAGAACAAAGTAAGAACCCTGCAGAGAAGAAAGCCCAAGCCAAAGCTAGGTATGGTCAGCACATCAGCTGTCCTGCAGTAACAGAGTGCACAGCATCAGCACCACTGCTGAGAAAGGAAACTCCAGTCCTTAGAAGAGTGCAAAACACAGTGCCTAAATTTCAGGGGTCCCCAGTAGGGAAGGCAGCTGTGCCAGCTGTGAGAGACAAATAAAATGACTAGCTGAGGAGTCACAAATTCAGAGCAAACACCCAGGTAATACCCCACCTTCTTCTAAGTGGCATAAGTCAACACCCAATGGCACAGGTAATCAGAGCCCTGATCAGCACGGGGCTTGTTTGCTGCTGGTGTAGCTGTTGTGCCTACCCCAGCCACAGACCCCTGCTCCCAGACCTAATCCACCAAGACAGCAAGTTACAGTTTTGCTGGCCAAAAAATTTCTAAATGGGAACAGGGAGCAATCCTCACTATCTCTTGCAGGTTCCAGCTCAGCAATGTGTGCTACACCCATTCATCTAAATGCAGAATTAGTTCTGAAACTAATGATAAGGCTTTAAATGACATTTCACACAGCTAATTTATTTCCCCACTGTCCCAAAGTGCTTCCCAGGTGCTGAAAAGCTTAGCTGCCAAAATCTCCATGGCCTTTGTTGTCAACCTCAGCAAGACAGCGCTGCATTGCACCATCTTTCCTATTCATGTTGGGTTTCAACCCTTAATGTGCCAAGCCTCAGAGCCCCCAGCAGTGGGGGGAGGGGAGGTGGGGGGGGAGGGACGCTGTTCTTCTCTCAGCACAGGCGAGGAGAAGCAACTTCTCCCTGTTCACAGAGGAAGTGGGCGCTGGAGCACCACCATCAGCTATTTCCTCCTGTCTTTCATGTGAGTCTTCCCTCCTCTGAGCAATGTGCTGTACCTTTATGTCAGTGGAGCTGCACAAAAGTGAGCTAGGTGTGATACCACACTACAGCACACTGCCTGTGCTGAAGGCACAAGGTCATCCCACCCTTGGGAAGGGGAGGGAGGACACGGCTGTATTTACACACACATGAGCACACCTTGGTGGCTTTGTGTAAACACGTGTACCCACGGAGTTTCCATTTGGAGACGTGCTCCGTGTGGCACGTATCTGTTCAGGCAGAAAAACATCACTGCCCCAGTTCCTGCAGCAGAATCCTTTTTTGTTTTTTTTTCTCTCTTGGGTTCTGGAGTTACTTCTGGTTTACAAAAATATCATCTCAGGGCAGCCTTCCTGATAGGTGGAATAGTTTCCCCTTGAGAAGAAGCTGGTGGAAATCCCCTCTCTTGAGACATTTTTAACTTTGCCAGAAATGTACGGTGGGAGTGACCGCTTTAACTAGTGAGCTGACCGGGATGAGCTAATGGGTTTTTCCATATCTGGTGTCTAGTTCCAGGGATTTCCATGAATTGCTGTCAGGACAGAAGAAGGCAACAGATTGCAACTGTGGGATCTGCTGTTTCAGCTCCACTGACACGTCATTCCCCCAGGACACCCAGTGACCTGGTTAATCTAGTTCTTTGCTTCTGACTTCTCGTAAATGATTTATCAACTGGCGTGGATCCCTGTTTGCTTAAGGAGGCGTGTGATGACCTCTAGCAGACCGGCTGCACTGAGCTACAGCCCACATTTGGCACCCAGCTGCTGGTCCAGCTCGTGACCCTTGGCAGGGGGAGCAGGAGGACAGGGCTCCGGCAGAGCCCAATGGCAAGGGCTCCTGCAGGGAACTGTGGGTGGTGTTTACAGGGTTTTGTGGAGAGCCCTGGTGACTAAGCCGTCAGCTCGTCAGGGAAGGCGCTTGCAGACCTGCCTCGGCCTGTCCTGACCCCCACGGTGTGTAGGTCTGGCTGGGAGACCGGCTGTGTTTGCTGTGTACAGACTGCAGGGTGCAAATCCTGGGAAGCATCAGCTGCTGCACCAGCACCAGCCTTTGGGACCATGTACTCTAGAGAAAAAATAACATGAATGTCTGCCACCTTGTCCATCCTCAGTGATGACACCGGTGTCAGAACCAGTTGCAGCTCTGGAGCTCATTGTCATGCACGTGCATAGGTCAATACCCACACACAAAACACTGCAGCAAAACAGAACATTGTACAGATCCAAACTCAAGTGCTCAAGCCAGGGAGATGAGGGATGATCCTGCAAGCTTTACATCATGCCTTTGTAGGTGAGGCTAGAGTGTGAAAAGAGATCAGATACCACAAATCAGGCACCCCCCCTAAATACTGCCCCTAAATGTGGGCAACTCCCTCCCTGCCTTTCCTCCAGGCCAGTTATTGCTGCTTCCTGCTCTGATTGTTTCAAATCTGGTTATCTTGAGTTATGCCTGTTCTGGCAAATATGGTGCAGCAGAGGGGAGGTCCTGTTCCCATCAATGCTGTATGCATGCCACAGATCACAGAGATTAGCATGGGAGGAACAGCTCAGATGAGCTGCTTGAGGCAGGCATTGGGAAGCTTGCAACAGAGCTTTGTAATGTTTAGAAAAATAAAACTCCTTAACAAAATCTTTGTTGTGGAAGATACAGGGCCGTACTGAATTTTCAGATGGCTGGAGGCTGTTTCACAGGGGCAGCACCCAGCAGAAGGGGAAGCTGGGGAAGCCTGCTCCCGCACCAGCCTGGACAGCCCCGCTCCCAAGAGGCACACTGTCACACCACCCTAGGGCCACCACACATCACCAGGGAGGGCTGGCTCAGGCTGCGGTGAGGAACCTGCAGCCACATGTTGGCAAAAGCATGGGGTGTGTTTTCTTCTCACATAAGGGTGGATCTGGAGCAGCTTTCAGCTTCCTGGGACCTGGGAAGTGGGGCTTTTTTGTTTATAGCCCAAGAGGATGGAGGGTCCAGCTCCTCTTCCCTGTTTGCGGTGGCACACCACCAGCTTCCTTGCCTTGTGCCTCAACAGGAACCTCTGTGTTCATGCACGACAGGCTCCCAGTCTACACCTTGTAAAGCACCCCGGCATCACAGAACGACAGACAGCTGGTGGGACGTGTGAGGGCTGCTCCACCTCACCAGGAGCAGTCACAGCTACCCTGTGACTCAAAACGCAAAACCACACCCCCAAAAACGTATTCAGTCTAGGCTGAGCCTACAGTCCCTAAGATAATCCCAGTCACAGAGCAGAAAAACAGGACAGGGAAAGAAAGGAAGGCTAGCAAATTATCCCAAGTCATATTTCCAACTTTAAATGTGGGTAGAGGTACTGTAGGTATAACCTTCAATGTGAATTTCCAAGTATTGATAGATATTTATATGGGTAACTGAGGGTTCAGTCTTATACCACCTCTTCCACACACAGACTTCTCTCCAAACAACAGAAAAGATCCAGATCCGTGTAGAAATTATGTCCTTACCAGCAACACAGATACTGCAGGCTCAAACCTCTTGGCTTTGCAAACTCAAACTGGTTTGCTGAGGACATCACAGGTGTAGAGTGATGCAAGTGCACAAGTCCCCCAAAGCACTCCTCTGTCCCTAGGGCAATGAAACAAGAGCTGAGTTTCCTCATTGAACTGTTTTGTAGCAGTAGCACATTAAAAAGAATACCCAGTCTTTGGTAGAGCTGAGATTGGAACCTGCTTCCTCTCATCTCCAGTCTCCCAGACTAGGGGAAAGATTGCTTCCAGGTGCCTGGCCATGTTCTAGTCCTGGCAACATAAGGCCATTTTCTGGTCCATTATCTGCCTATTCCAAAGGGGTCTTATTTTGCACTTTTTGACTACAACCAAACCATTTTATTGAGCTGTTCTGGTTTTGCTGTGCTAAAATCACCCACCTGGCAGAGCAGTTCAGTGCACGACAGAGAGATCACACCTCTCAGCTGGGTTTTACATAAGAGATCCTACCTGGATGCTCCGGCCGAGGTTACAGCTACCTGCCATGTAGTCAAGGCATCCTCCTTTACCACCACTGTCCTTGAAACACTGGCTCACAGTTAAGAGGCAGCTGATCCCAGTGTCTTATCCAGGTCCTCTGCTGATGAGGCTCACATTAAATCTACTGGCAAGCAGAAAGGGAACTGTTATGGATGAACAGAAGTTAAGGGAATAATAACCTGCTTTTCTTGGATCTGGTCCAGTATTCACTAAAGGGATTTCCATAAGCATTAGTAGGATTCAAATCAGACCATAAATTTCTTGCAAATTTTCTTTTGCTTTATTAAAGCAGGAGAAAACCCCAAACAACCAAACTAAAAAACTATCTTAAAAGTTGTTTCCCCTTTTTCTTCTATATTTATTCTCCTTTATGCTTCTTAACACTGGGAAAAGTATATCCACTCTGACAAGCCCATGATCCGAGAACTCCCCGTAACATGAGAAACGCATTCCTGAGCTCCCCAGCTTTGTAGGCCCTGCAGAACTGCCTTAGCCCTGCTCCACTTCCAGGCCTGCCACTTGTACCAGGCACCAGCACAAGAGAATTACACACCAAGAGGAGATACTTCCTATGTTATTATCACCTTCCCAAGCTATCAATTAAAAAATGGCAGATTTCTGTACCCTGTGGATGTCATGTGCCTTGTTTGCACAGTTTGTTCTTGCAGGGTTTTGACACACACTTCCCAAATTGTCTGAGGAGCAGTGCTGCAGGTATCAAGGCACTTGAAGATGCTGTCATAGTGTCTAATTGGATTTCTAAAGGGCATTGCTCCTGCTGCCTTTTGATGTCAGTGCAGGTTGGGCAACTATACCCCAGTCCCCATCTCTAAGTACTGAGCACCTTTCAAGTCTGGGTAACAGTCTCACTCACCTCCTAGAATACAGTATGTAGCTCTCAGGATGCTGCTTCTGAGGATGCAAGAAGTGATGATTATGAGTTTTCAGGAAATACAGAAATGGGATACTTCCAAGTAAGCTAACTAAGTAACTTTAATAAGAAAGACCATTTATTAACATTTTCTGCTAATAGCCAGTTCTATAGATTCCCATGATTCCCACTGCCAACATCTTTGATACAGAAATATTTATGACCCCTCTCCTTCAGAAGGCTGGGTTTTATCTCATTTAAAATAAAGAAAAAATGAAGATTCATCTGTCATTGTTAGCTATGTTAACTCTCCCTTTTTGTCCCCATGCTTCAAAAAGAATAGAAGCATTCAAACCTTACAAAGGAATCACGGAGAGTTGCAGGGGCTGTGAGCCATTAAAAGCTTGGCTGTAGTTTTTTATTGAAACTATTAGAGCATTTATTGTACAGGTAGCTTTGGCAAAGTAGGGTTTAGATTCTTGTTAGGTTCACAGCCCTGTGTCCCCAGAGGTCAAGTACAATGCGCTAAGGAGACTCTGGCTCTCCCGCCAGGAGAGCTGCCAGTGCATCAGCCAGAGCACAAAGCAGCGTGTGCAAGTGTGAGGCCGAATGGAGCTGCTATTGCTCTGATTTCCAGAGAGAAAAAAAGCCCAAAGAGTTTTTTTAGAATGCAGTCTTGACTGCATGCAAAACTTAGGTTTTGGGTAGAGTGTGAGGCCTGTGTTTAGGGCCCACTTTTGAAAGGAAGGCGTTTCTGTCTCCCGGCACGTTGGGGGGAAGCAATAGGGCTGCCATCTAGAGGCCAAAGGGACCTTCCAGCACATTCCCTTGGACAGCAGCGCACTGGCCATCACCTGCTCTCCTCACCACCTATGTACAAAGGATTCCCCATTTCTAAATAAAATTGCCACACTACAAAAAATTTCTCCATCCACATCTTTCATTCAAGGATTGCATATACTGCCTTAATCTTTTAAGAATAGCCTATATAGTTAATTGATGCATCTGCCATGGGGATGAAAGACAGTATGAAATATGAGACACATAGCAGAATCTTGCAGAAATACTTGAGAGACTCTGAGGAGCTCTAGGTTTCTGGGAATGGTGTTAAATGTGTGGTATTAAAAGATTATTAGCAGGAAGACTCAAGCATGGTACAGGGTTTGTGTTGCCTATTAGGCACATCAAGCCCTATAGCCAGAGTAAGCATGATTTTCATCTGCTCATCCCATTGCTACTCTTTACTATTGCCAGGCTTTGGAAGAGTTTGCTCTGGAAATGCCCCAAAACTGTATCTGGTTTGGCTCAGAATGTGCTTTTCTCCCATTCCTACAGTGATCTCATTCTTCTCTGACAATAAGGTTTGCCGTGGCCAGGAGCAAGCTCTGGGTGCCTAAGTCTGGACACCATCCTTCCCAACTTGTTCCTAAACTGAACACTGCAAGTCAAACCCATCTGAACCCCTGGCAACTGGAGCCAGTCTGTAACATGTTTTGATGGTTACAGCCTGTTCAGAAAAGTCATATCTTACCTGTTGCTTCTTTACCATGGCTGCTCCTCTACTTTGCTGCCTCATCTTCTCTCTCATCTGGCTTAGGAATGGCCTCTCCCCTATGCATTTCCCTGCAGCAGGCGTAGGAGTCATTTAGTACTGACAAATGTTAAAGGGAAGCAAGCAGAGGACTCTCATGGCAGCCTGCTGCTCTCCAGAGTGCCCCATGCTAATCTGAGGTGTGTTAAACCCTGCCACCTCCACACAGCTTGAGCACACGAGGAGGTTGAAGTGGAGTAGGAAAGTGAGGGTTGCAGGGCAATGATACCCTTGTCTTGTAGCTGGAGAAGTTCAACCAAAGGCCCTCACAAAGCACTTCAGTTTTGCTTGCACACTGCCTGCCCTGCACCCTCCACATTGCAAAATCCCCTGCTGATGTGACTAAGAGTCACGTTCTGCGGCCTCAGCATCAGTTTCCACCTCTCACAGCCCTGAAATGGAGACAGGGGCGTGTGATTCGCTTTCTCTTCTCCTTACTCTCTGACCATAGGTGATTTGTGCCCACGGGGATGGAGGGACATTTCTGTCAATATTGTTGTATTGGCTAAATAAAAACAGATCTGAACCTCACCACTGCTGCTTACATAAAGGAAAGAGGAAGCAGCCACTGACTCCAGCAAGCTCTAGCAAAGTTCTGCAAGAAGCTGCTAAAAATAGGGCTACCCCTACATTTCCATCCTGCCTTTGACACAGTCACGGCTTTCACATCCCACTGGCCTCGCCATTTCCTTGTGGCGGGCTTGCCTCACGCCCAGCGTCACCGACAGCCCTTCCTGCCTGCGGACAGCCTGGGGAGCTTTGAAGTGCAGGCAGCTCCTTCCCACCCTGCTGCAAGCAAACACTTCCCCTGCCCTCTTTACCTGTCCCTCAAAGGAGAAGTGGGGCAAGCCCCAGTGGCAATCTCACCCTAAAAGTCCCAGAGATACTGAAGACCAGAAAAGCTTTCCACAGTGGAGGGTTTTCTCAGTAAATGAAAGGGTGGAAAGTGTTTTTTTGAGTATCCTGGGTTAATATTCCCAAACACTGCCTTTTGACTGTGGTACTTATTCTTGGAGGACTTGGAGCTGAAAATTTCCTGAACCTGCTTCTTGGAGTAAAAAAGAGAACCCAGAGTAGAGGATGGGATGTGAAGAGGAGCCCTTCTGCGTGATCTGAGACTCAGGAGCCCCCATCCCTGGAGCCAGGGAGGTGGCTGTTAGCCAGCAATGATTCCATGTGCGTGCTGGATGACAGCACGTGCAAGATGGAGGTGCCTTGGCAATGTACTATAGGAAGAGCAAGAGTGTTGCCAGTTGTGCTGGTGGTGTTCCTGAGAGTTGAACTCAGTAGAGGGCATCACTGTCGAGCTGAGGAGAAAGCAACAAAGTCTATGAAGCCAGGTGAAATGGAGACTGTTGAAGATTACCCCTGTTGTGAAAATTTCCAGATCCTGGGGAAGTAATGCCCATGGGAATTTGAGCCAACAGAAAGATCATTAACATTTCTGTTTTCCCTGCTCTTCAATCCAGCAGGTACCAGAAAGGGCAAGGCAGAACATGCTGGACTCCTGAGAGACAAGAGGCAGGGAAATCCAAGACCAGAGCTCTGTCTTCCTCTCTGGACCATAAGATGATTAAGCATCTGACCACCTTTTTGCCATGCTGCTGGAGCAGGGCAGAAAGTCTGGGAGCTGATTCACTCCTCCATGAGTTTGGAGTCTGGCTGTTCTGGCCTCAAGCTCTCAAGCAGAGGGATGGGATCTTGAAACTTCACAGACCCTGATTCTGCTTTCAGGTATCAAGGGTGAACCAAGAAAGCCAGCAGAGTCCCCTTGAAGTAAAAAGACTGACAATGAAGACCTGAACTCCTTCTCCAGGGGCTGTGGAGGTTGTCTTGGGGTAGCCCTGATTTTGTAAGAGGACTGGAGTGTGGAGAGGCTGCCTTGAGGAGTTTACTTGGTAGGGGCCAGAGGTCTTGGGTGAGTGCAGGGAAAGAGCCCCCAGCCAGCCTGCAGGACAGCCTACAGGAGTAACAGCCCTGTTGCAGGCACTGGGTGGTAAAACATAGCAGAAGACCATTCTGCTCAGAAGTCACACCTAGGCAACAAGAAATTTTCCCCAGACCAAGCCAGAAGTTGTTTCCTGAAGCATCTTTGTCACCAGACCCTTTTGGAGGAGGGCAATATTCAGCATATACCTAGCGCTGTCTGGAAACAGGCCATGGCACAAGGGTGCAGCCCCAGTTCTGGGCAGCTCCTGGGGGTACATGTGAAGGGGGAGGAGGAGGACGGGGGTGGGGGTGGCAGCTTCCTCAGCAGACAGTTTTGTTTATCACTCTTAGTGCAGAAGAGAAGCATTTGTTAGCTCTCACTACTTCTGAGCCTTTGTAACCACTCTCCTCTCGAGATTAGCCTGTGTAGGTTTCCTGGGGGGCTGCAGTTTAATACCTGGATCTTAATTCAGTCCCTCCATCTCGCTCCCCCACCCTGCCAGAGCTCACAAAGGTGGTCAGCCGGACCCTTGGCGAAGCTGTCGGTCCGCGTCGCTCAGATGTTGTGGGGACTGGGGGAACGGCCCTGGAACCACCACTGGGCTGGAGAAACAGGTCCACAGCCCTTCAGAGCATTTCTCAGGGTGGCCGTCATGACAGATTTCCAAGGCTCGAGGAAATGCCAGGGAGTCAAAATGATGGGAGCTAGATTACCTGCACACACAGACGTGCCTTCCAACAAACAGGTCCTTCGGGAGATCTGCACATGGCTCACCTCCGTGGCTGATTTTTGAGCCCCTCCTGCCGCTCCTCCACCTTTTCCTTCCGCTCCCCGGCAGGTGAACGTGCTGAAAACCGCATAGGGGGCCGAGAACAGAGCTCTGTGTGTGTGTGGGTGTGTCGCGGGGTTCCGCAAAGGCAAAGCTCTGGGTCACCAGCGCGATTTTGAGGCGATTTTGGAGTTTCCAGAAGCGCCGTTTCCGTGAGGCGGTGCCACAGCGCCACCTGGCGGGCCGGCCGCCGGCGGGCCTCGGCTGCGCGCGGCTCGTTAGGATCCCGGGATCCGCCCCGTGGGAAGCAGTGATGGCACTTCCCGCTGGGATCGCGCTGCTGACGCGCCGGGCAAACCCCGCTGTCACCCAAACAGCGCCGTCGCGGTGAAGAAGCGCGTGGGCAGCCCCAGAGCCCAGCCCAAGGCAGCCCGGAGTGCCGCGTCACAGCGCAGCCTCGCCGTAGGCACGCGCACAAGCCGCTCTCACGCGCTGCTGCTGTCCAGATGGCGGAGACGCTTGCAGGAGGGCGGGAAAGGCACGGCACGGCTTTGTCAGGTCTTCGCAGAGTTAATTCACTCACAGGTTTTGAGGTGTTTGCGGTGAGATTTGGGCTCTCACCATATACTGTGTCATCGATTCTCACTGGGAAATACTGCATAGTGCAATAATTTTGGTGCTCACAGACAACAGAGACAAGCTACTAAAGGAAATTCAAGAGAGTGCGTACAATAAGCAGATGTGGGTTTTAGACCATCCAAGTGCCAGAACTGGGGAAAGATAAAGTAAATGGAAACAAACAGAAGGCAAGTGTGGGCAGAAATCTTATGGCAAGCATTTTGGGCAAACCTGGAAAACCAGCGTACGTGATCAGTAATGGTTCTTGCACAGCGCTGAAACAGGCTGCGACAGTTTGAATGAAAAGAACAAGGAAACTTTTTGAACATGTAAGAAAACTCGGGGGTTTTCGAGCACATCACTTTTCAGTTAAGGCATTCACAGGAAGTGGCAGTGATGCGGGGAACACGCAATGGCTCTGTGTGTAAGAGACAGCAGAGCTGCTTGCCTATACTTTTTGTTAAATAGCCAGTGTGACCCAAAGCTTTACTGGAAAAAATACATACAAGGGACAAAACCAGTGCAACCAATACCAACACTTCAGACTGAAGCACTAGATGTGGCATTTAAGTCCAGCTCTGGTAAATTCCATTTTTGGCTGGAGGCATGAAAGGGATAGGCTGTCAAGAGGCCAGATACTGATTGTGTGACGGTCAGCACCAGCAGAAGGACCGACTGCCCATGGCCTAAGCACAGTCTGCTCTGGAGAGAGCTCTGTCTGGTAGCTGGAATGCTGCTGGCCTGGACTCCTGATAGCCTGAGGCACTTGGAAAATCCCAGCCAGAAGTCACAATGGGGCCTACATCCATAGTCTCATTCACCGAGTTTGAGGAACTAATTTCTTCAGCTGTAGATGTGAATGCAAAGACTTCATCCAGTTCCCTTTCTTTTACTGTGTATGTTTCCCTGAAGTCTCCTTCCTGTCATTGCTGAGCCAGCATATGCTGCACCAGTGCTTCTCTGTCCCCCAGCTAACATCTGGCTCAAATTTTAACAACAGTTTAGGGTAGCTCTTCTTTTCAAGGCTCTAGACTAAGAGCCTTTTCAGATTTTAACTTCAGCTATACCAAGGGGTGCTCACTTCCCTTAAGAGAGCATCCTGGAGCATCCTACCAGTATGAACCACAAAGTAATATCCATGGGACTGTGATCGAGGAGAATCAGCTGCCTTAGAACACCAGAGAGCTGGCTGTTGGGTAAAACAAATCCAGCATGTGTGTAGGACCCTGCTGAACCTGATCTCAGGGTCTGCAGTGATGTATCACACCTACATACACGCATTCAGAAAGAAACTCTAAGTCTCTACTGAAACATCTGCTCTGGATCTTTCCAGATCCACACAGCACAAGAGATTTCTAGAATGGAAAAGGAGAGAACTGGGAATGACCACGTTCATCCCTGGTTACAAGAAAATGCCATCACACTACACAAAAATACCATTAATTGCCAGTGAAACTCTCTATTTTAAATCCTTTGTTAATCTTGAAAAAACAAGTTTTGCCATACATTATTCCCTCCCTCATGGTTTTAGGCCCAGCACATCAGTAGTAGTGAATATCCTTTGAACATTTTGAGACTACCCAGACAAGAGTTGCCATTAGCTGGTATTTCACTACAGCATATAATTGGCCTTATTCCTAATCCCAGCCTTGTTCCTAGCCCCAGCCTGTTAACCCTTGCACTTTCCTCTTGGTGCTGACTAAGGCCTGAACGGCTCCCTGATGTTTCTGCTGTAACCCCTCCTTTAGGCTGGCATGCATGGAGCCTTCAGCCAGGTGTAACTGTTGGCTCATCAACGTCATTGTCCTAGTAAATCACCCGGGGTGAAAGGCTAACAACTCTCCAGCAGGTTTGCAAAGAGAGGAGGTGAAGGGGGAACTGATTGCAGGGCTGGAAAAATGGGAAACTTGCCCTCAGGTACTGGATGCACAAAGCACTTAGTCTGCCAGCGAACAATGGCTATGGAGTGGAGAGGGAAACAGATGGGAAATTACATGCTTCCAGAACCTCTGTAAGAAGACTAATTCCACTTAGGAACTGTGCAAGTTAGCTCTCAGATCGAGGTGTGGCAGGAGGAGCTGGCAGAGCTCAGAAATTCCACCCCTGGCACTCAAGGCCCTTGATCCTTTGCTGGAGCAGGGGCAGAGCCATGCAGGTACGGATCCTGGGGCATTTCTTCCTACTCGGAATCACGTTGCTCCTTCACCACCGCGGTTTTCAGAGAAATGTCTTGTCCTCGAACACAAGGCACACCCTTCCAGCAGCAGTGGCACAAGGACAGCCAGTAGATGGCACGAGCCACAGCCAAACCTGCTCAGTGAGGAATCCTGGCCTTCCTGGTAGGAATAGTCCTCATCCTCCTCTCCTCACCCCCTTTTGTCTGGCAACCACAGGTGAGCAAGCGCCACACTCACTTTTCATTTTCTCATCAATAAAGCAGAGGTGTGATGCGGCCAAGTAAATAAAGTTTATCTTCATGAACCACTGGGATATCCTTGGATGAAAAGCTGTGTTAAACTGACAAAAACGTAGTTAGTAATAAAGAAGTGCCATAAACATCACAGAAAATAGGCTCTTGTTTTTGGGGGATGCAGCCAGTCGCTGAAATGCAACTAATTGCAGTGCTTGACTTCCAGGCGGCCGTGCCTCGCGCTGTAAGCAACTGCATGCTGTAGGACAAGGCTTCCTTCCCCTAGGAGGAACATGTCCTGTGGCAAGAGAACTGCCAGCATATTCAGATCACATCATGCCAAACATGCAAACAGTCAAAGAATAGTTTGGGTAGAAAGGGACCCTAAAAATCTAGCTCCAAGCCCCTGCCACGGGCAGGGTCACCAGTAACTTGGCTTTATAAAGGGCGTTAGCCCTGAAGCCTTGTATGTACACAAGTTGTGCAGGCAATGTAAGAATCTCTAGCACAGTATTTCAAAAGTGACACATTAATTTACCTATAGGAAGATTCCAACACCCATGGTCATTTGGTTGTTGGCTCCTCTGTTGAAGTGTCAGAGCAGAAGGTATCACACAAACCTGTTTGCAAGGACTGCAGAAGGAATCCTTTTGCCATTTATTCAAACAGCCACTGCTGGCCACAACAGTTAGTCAGCATCTGGTCACTTATATATCACAACTGGCTTCTAGTTTCCATTTTCTTGCTTCTATACAGGTACACCTACAAGTAAGTTTCTTTGTGATCATGTCAGGAAGACTGAAGTGAGCAACTGCAACAACAATTAAACAAAACTGCAAAATAAGCCAGAAAAAGGATTGATTTTATTAGGAATGGTACATTTAAATACATGTAAGACTTTGGGATTAATTTACATATTTCTTCCAAAAATGTTTCCCTTCTTTGACAATACAGAAGTTAAAAAAAAAAATTATCTAATTCCAAATTGTAAGAACAACAGTATTTGCAGTGGAAATTTCTATTAATCAAAACAACTGTGCATTCCGGAGATTTTGACTACACTTTTCCTGGGAAATTTTTTTGCTGCTCTCATTACTAAAATAACCTTCCTTTCCATCAAGACTATTGCTAGTCATACACATGTTATTTAGTATCACACTTTTGGGTATGAAAGCTATGTCACTTTTATAAACATCAAAAACATGGACATGCATATTGACATTTCTGTGCAGTTTTATGAAGTCACCTGTCAAATAAGGCCTATACATACAATACCACATACTAGTGAATTACTGTAAAATTATTATAATGGATTCCCAATAAACCTGACATCTGGATGGTATGTCTCATTTTAACAGAAAATTCCAGCTTTCATTACTGCTTAACATTGTATTAATCCATTATCCAAGTGAGCGATATTCAACTAACCAATGTGTATTCCTGAAAGTCTTTTGCAAATTAAGCATATTGTCAAGGTCATGTAAAGCTGGAACTTAAACAGCCTGTTAAGCCAAGCAACAGGGAAAAAGGGGAACTCTAAACTAATTTTATCTGGTCCATTCATTCTCGCACAGAAAAGTAGCCACAGAACCTTAAAGGAATTAAATCTATACTTCCTGTTCTCAGACTTAATACCAAGGACAAAAGCTAACATAGTATTTTGGAAGTCAAAGGCCTTGGAGGTGGAGGGGAAAGTAGGGGCAAGAGAGGGAGAAAGCAGCGTATTGTCTCATCCCATTACCTCAGCATTATGTGTACATAATATATCTATGATAGAAATGTTTACTAATAGCAGGGAAAAAAATAAAAAAGACTTCCCACTCCAGACTTCACTGAAAGAAGAAAGCTGACAGCCAGCCCCTCCTCACAGAGATGGCCTATTTGATGACAGGCACTTTGGCAATGTAAGAGGAGGTCACCCTTTCATCATGTTAACTCTTCCCCTCCCAGATCTCACATATAACTCATCTCAAGTCTTGAAGAAACTTGAATCAAATTAATTAATACATCTCTCAAAGCAGGTTAACTACGGCTATGAGCAGAGCTCGACCTAGAACGAGATTTTCTTTTAGAAGAAGAGGGAGAGGGGGAAGAAGCTATCAAGCTGGAGCGGTGGCTTTTGTGGGAGTAACTCTTTTTAGGAGTACGACTGCGAGAACGAGAGCGGGATCGAGAGCGAGATCGGGATCGAGAGCGAGACCTGGACCTGGACCGGGACCTTGACCGGGAGCGGGACCGGCTGTCCGATCTGGAGGATCCTGTAGACCTGGACCTGCTGCGAGATCTTGAGTAACTCCTTGATCGAGATCTGCTTCTAGAAAAACATAATCAAAAGCTGTAGTCTCACCTCTTACTAAATTTCAAACAATAATGTAAAACTCTCAACTGCTTTGTATGCATAGCACACCCATCCGAAGATGTGAAAGCGCTATTCACAGCATTCAGCCGTTTCACAGTGCTGCTGCATTTCTGCTACGCTCCCTTCTTCGGTGAAGGTCATCAGGAACTGCTGGCCTTGACACTCTACTAGTGTGGCAAAATATGAACTGCCTAATAAAAGATGCCACTCCCCAGCTCCTGCCAGGAGGAGAGAAACCAATTTTTAGGCAGGGGAATCTCTATCAAAGAAGAATTCTTTGTCTGCATACACCCTGCCTTGAAGTATCATTTAATTTTTCAAGAAAAACACAGAAATGGAACTTGATACCTGTGGTGCTTATTCTCTCTAGAAATGCCATGCAAACAGGAGTTTCTTTCAAGAGCCTAAGAAAGTCTTTAAAGGTGTAGATCACCAGCACACTTTAAGGCCTTAGAGTTTTAACACCTTCACTAGTAATTCATCCCTTTTTTCATGTAAAGAGACAATGAAAGAGCTGCAGCCAACACGTTTTTTTAATGACTGAACAGCGTAGCTGCCTAGGAATAACGCAAGCAAACTAACTGATTTTTTTATTCTCATTAACAAGTTGGCTTTCACTACTATTTGAGAAATATTTTACAGTACTGTGAAACAGCCTTCCTTTAAGTTAACTATTTTTAATACCAAAATTCATGTTTTAAGAAGTTCTTTATAATACCACATTTTGTCTTTAAAAAAAACCTTCACTCTCATCCAAAAGTGTTCTGTTTACCCTGTTTCAGCAAGTTAGTTCTTATCTTAATCTGTTTACACTGCTAAGAAGTGGTTCTGGGCAGCGATATTTCGCTTGGGGCCAAAAAACTACATAAACTTTGGCACCAATACTACCCTAAGCCATGCCCTCAGCAGAATTTTATCATGCCAGGTAACCTACCGATGCCTTCTGTGGTCTTCAGTCAGTTTAATTCTGCGTCCATTCAGCTCAGTGCCATCCAGTTTTTCCAGTGCACTCTTCATGTCACTGTAAGATGCAAACTCCACAACCCTGTATACATAATGAAATTAAAGTTTCAGAGAAACAAAAAACGTAAGGAAAGCAGGTCTGGCCCTTTTTAATCTGTTGATTCACAGCTTTGTGTTTTATCTTCTGAAAGCTAGTTTTTAACATGGTTAGTTAGAAAATATGACACCAACAGTCCCTAGCTATCCACACCTCTCACATCTACTTAAACAATACCAGAGCTGCCATCTGCAAGAAGATGGAGAAAACGCAGGAAGCTACACAACCCTGCATCACCTGAGGAAATACCTTTCAGTCCTCCACTAAACTGCATTCCAAAGCTTTCCCTGAAACAATACAAGTTTGCAGACTCTTCTGCCCTATTGAAGAATTTAAATAGTGAATAGAAAGTCCGGTCTTTGTGGTTTTTAAAATCTGAACTGAAAAAAGGGTGTGTTGCACTGGTTTGCAGTGGCCCTAGAGCAGTTTTGCCAGCACAGAAACTCTGCTCGCACTTCCTTCCCTCCTGCTTTGTTGTGCAGGACCTTTGTAGTCTGCAGGACTGAGAACAGAGTGGGCAGGTAGGTATTCCCCACGGAAGTTGATTATGTTCATTTCCCATGACTTTGACTGCTGAACTGTAAAGCAGCCACAGACAGGAGGTGTTTTAGCCTCAGATCATAAATGATTATATAAAAATAAGACAGCAGGACTTAACATTTGAAAGGAACTCTCTCTTCCTTTCCTGCTTTCATACATTGTTTCCATGTTAGAGAATAGAGACTGAACTCCTACTAACTGACAGTTCGTGTTTTAGATTGTTTTGGTTCTTTAAGTGGAAAAATTTCAGCATCTGAGCCACCCCATAGATTTATATTTCACTTCTTCTGTATTAGAGGAAAAATCACACCTTCAATAGTTTCAGCTATCACAAAGACACAAAATTAACTTACCCTTCATTCCTGTTGTTTCTGTGTGCATCAACATAGGTGACCTCCCCTGCCTTTCTCATGACATCTTTCAAGTCCTACAGCAAAAGTTAAAATTTTAGTTTGAACAGGACACAAATCAGTCAGGTAGCAGAATATTCCCCTAAAACTCTCCCTGCTGAAACAGCTTAATGCTTTTTAATTTCTACATATATTAAAAAAAAAAATTAGAAAAAAGTTTCTGAAACAGCTTCTGTAATAGCAGCTGCATACAGAAAGGATCCATGATTTTACAGCTACAGTGAATAAAACAGTGCTTTCAAGATAATCCTACATCCCAAAACCAGCTGTTATGAAAACAATACTTAAAACACCAACACGTCCCCTGAAATCAGAACTGAGAAGTGCAGTAGTATTAAATCCAGATTTTCGCAACTAACGCCCCAGTTAAATGACATTCCAATAAATGCAGACAAATTCAACCTTTATGCTCACCTCCCCCAGCTTCAAAGCAAAATTAAAAGCAAAAAGGTCTAACTACAATATAATTAAAAATTTTACAAAGGAATTTTTTTCTTAAATTTCATTTGAGTATCCGTCACACTATAGTGTCACATCAACAGACATCTTTGTCTCAAACTTAACAGAGGCTAAACGTGGACAAGTAAAATTACTTGCTTAGCAATAGGAGAAAGCACAAAACAAATAATGCAAAAGGTCACTAAAAAGCTAAACATTTGTCTAAGTTAAGGCAGCACTTTTACCCAACAGTATCTGGTATTTTATAATCCCACGCTACTTACCGCAGCACACCACAAGTGGCAGGTGATATAAGAAGGTACCTTAAGCAAAGAGCTGCTTGTCCAATACCTAGCTGGCCAAGAGGAACTCTCTTACATGAGAAAGGCAGTGATGGCTCATAGCAATATGCTTCACGGAGGTACCAGCCCTGAAAGCACTGGACATAGTCTCCAGTCTCCAGAAGTGGCTAAAGAACCCGAGGATGATCTGTGCTAGCCAATCGAGATCAAACCCAGGCAAACCAAGATCTAGACTGCCAAAAAACAGGAGTGTCATAGGAACCAAAAGGAAAATTCAGAACAGGCCAAACCCTAGAATTTCAGCCACTAGAAAACCCCCAAATCTTTGGTTCTTTTTCCTCCACACAAGAAAAATGAAGGTTAACCAAATCAAGGTTGTTAGAAGAGGTTCAAAATGCACTTGGTTAGAATTAGAAATATGCTTAAGGAACAAAAGACTACAAAACAAAAAGCCAAGAAAAAACTTTAGAACATTTGCCACAGAATATAAAAAAAGCTTAGTTTTGTCTAGTATTTTGATTCAATAGTTTTATAATAAAAACTGGCATATGGAAAGTAGTAGATATATTCCTTGTTTCACAGGTCTTAATATAAAGAAACGCTAATAGCAAATGAAAATTGGTCCCTACTAACACCATTAAAAACAATATTTCAGATTACCTCAATTTAGAGATGATGGACAAAATTTTGGCTCTGCTCAAGTCAATGAGAATTTAACCAGACCAGGACTGGTAAGTCAAAAGGAAGTTAGAAAATGTTAATCTACGCAATTATGTCCCAAATCAGTAACTTTAGGCTTTAAGATTGAGGCTCCTGCAATATGCTGAACCCTAAGAAACATTAACATGAAATATCATTTGTAATCACAATGTCAACATGATTAAGATGCCAACATTATTTCTCAAAAGAGAGGTAGTGTGCATGTGTTATAAAAGCTCAACATTCTGTAATTAGGGGAATGTTTTAAAGTTACCTGGTATCACCTAACCAGTGGAAAATCAAATTTTATCTTAAGTTTACTGCTCTGGGTCACCTTAAATAGCACAAGAAAACCCTGTTGTCCTTAGCAGCAGAGAGAAATAAGGTGTAGGACAACCATACATAGGAAAATACATCTTGATGTAACACAGACCTACTTTTCTCAACTGCTTGAAAATTTGATACTGGGAAACTGATGAGGGTGGTTGAAAAGCTCTGAACATGCAGAAATACATGTTTGCTAAAAAAAAAGGAGAGTTCTAACAGTTTGTCTACTACTTAGAGATGGGATTATCTATTAACAACACAGTCAACAATCTGAGGAAACTGATCTGAATTTTTCTGGCTTTTTCTATGTTTAAATATCCCAACACCATAACTTTTAAGGGAGATAGATGTTCTCAAAGTATGGGGATCTGGACACACCACAGATTAAATTGTGTGCAAGTTTAAAAGCAAGGTTCCATAATGAGTGCTTCCTAGCAGGGATTAGAAGGGAAGAATAATGGCACTACTGTTAATGGATTAGCTATTTTAATGTGTTATAAATAGCATAGTTAAAAGTTAAAACACTATAGTCAGTACCAAAGCAGTACAACTTCAAAAGTAAATGCAGCTTGCATATGGTTGTTACCTTCAAATGATGTCTATTTAGGCAGGTATCGAAAAGTCTCTTATGCTAACTTATCATATATTTAAGAGACATTAAAACATTTAATTAGAATACTAAAAGATTCACCAGTATGAAATCTTGACTTGGGTGGGCTTCAGATTAAAATGTTAAGTACACATAAAGCCATTATAAATATTCACAAGTAAAAGAAAGTTACAAAAATGTTAATATTTTTTCAAGTTATGCATTTAACACTAAACAGCACTGTAGGATTTATTTTCCTTAACACTCCATTATAGCTTACTTCTCTGGTCCCTACTGTTGTTTCCAAGTGACAATCTCTTCATATATGTAACTGCATAGCAAACCCAGAAGATGCTTAGATTAAATCCAGTTGATCTCCACATGAACTCAGCTGGTTCTCTTTAGTTATTCAATAATTAACACAACTGTTCTGTTATGAACCCTCTGAACCTGTCATGCAGAAGATAAATTGAGTTCAACTGTTTATCTGCACGGATTGCACCCAACTCTTACGAAACACATCAGCAGAGCTCCAAGCAAACCAACAAGCCTCCCTGTGGGGAAGTAGCTCCAGACCGAGGCTTTGAACATCCAACATGTTCTACTGCATCTTTCAGGACTTTAATCAAAGTCTCTTTATTCAAAGAATATATAGGTTAGTGAACAAGACTAAACTCCACTATTCACTCACCTTTTGTAAATACCATCTGTTGCTATGTCCTTACAAAGTGACACTGTACACTACACAGAACACAACTAAAATAACTGATTACATGGCTATTCTGTTAAAAACTACCTAAATATTAGCAAAACATTAGCAAGAGGTGGAAAAAAAAAACAAAACAAAAAAAAAAAGAAAGGTGGCAAGAAAGCTTCAAATTACAAGTACTGAAAGTTTGGGTTTATAAAAAAAAAGTGTCTAAAATAAGCATACTTGACACAGTAGCTCTCTTAAAATTCCCTGTATTAATGATGTACTACCAGAATTTTCCATCATTAACTGGGTCACAAAAATATTTTGCAAAACATAAGAAAAGACTATAAATTACGATCAAAACAAAGACATGCACCTCCAGGCGTAACAATACAAAAGAATGACATGGTCTGAATGAATGCAATGTTTCAATATTTTAGAAATTATTTGGAGTCTTCCAAAGTTTTATCAGTTGGCAAACAGAATTAAGAATCAGTTCCCAATTACAAAATCTAGTTACATTATATTCGCACAGCTTTGAAACAAAAGACTCCTGTAAGTGCTTGAATGCTAATTTTTAGCAATCCCTGAAGCTTTTTCTTATTTTTTGTTCCCATTAAATATTTATGATGGCTTTATTAAGAAATGCAGTCTACTTATGGAGTAGTAAAATAAGGTGTAGAAAAGAGGAGGTAAGATGCTAACTCACCTGCCAGCTGATACGGGATGAAAGGTTTTCAACAATGATCCTGTGTTCAGTACGAACAGGGGGCCCATACCGGCTGAGAGAATTCAAAGGAAAAAGAAAAAAATGCTTCAGTGTTAGGAATTTAAAACTTAAGAAATCTGACATTTTCTACAGTTTGCTGAAAGATTTAAGTAATTTCCTTATTGCTGGACTGCAGACTTGATTCTTCTTAGTCAAGAGTATATTTAAGACTCCACTGGAAGAGTGTCCCAATTTTTTTCAGAACACTCAGATCTTCCAAGTATTTAAACAAGAGGACCCAGAGTCATAAAACTGGCAGGATGAGTATCATTTTTCCATTACTGCAAACCTCTTCTTGTCTAGCACTGGCAATCTGACATCATGAACGTGACTACCATGTCAGATGCCCACGACCTTCAATCAAGCCAACTTGCTACTCTGAAAGTCCACTTTTAGCCTGGACCTCGGACCAACTATAACACACCAAGGTTATTGCCACTAAAGTAAAAAAAATCTAATTAACATGCCAGCATATGCAGATTAATGTTCCACACATTGGTTGGTAACTGGCAGCAATTCTGACTTTGCAACTAATCTGAAGGTTTATGTCCCTTGCATCTTCATCTTTCTTCCAAACCCCGCTCTGCACGGGCCACAGCTATGAATGTTTCTACAGAGTAAATTCTTCCACACATATTTCCTTCACACAGATAGATACGAAGTGAAAAGACCTAATGTGTAGTTGTCTGGCAGAATACATGCAAATCTGCAGAACTTTCACTGCACGTCGGCACAAGGCTCACCACTGGCCCCAATCACTGGAAGTGAACAACTCCACAAATACTGTGTGTCCTCTAGAGGTATTCTAGAGATGAGCTGTGTCCTGGTTTCTACATTCCATTGGTGGAGACATACTCTCCTGCTTGGTCAGCAAACTTAGTCAACTGGTATTTACTAACACGTGCAGAAGTGTTTATCTTGTGCCCTAGCACTGCTCCTTTTCTAGGCTGCGCTGAAATAAGCATTTTGATAACCATACAACTGGAAACATGAAAACCTGGTTAGACAGTAAATACCTTGAATTATTGCTCTACAATATCCTACTTATCAAGTAAGTTTAATTTGGTGACAAAAGCTGCAATAGAGAAACTGCACTTCTCTTGACTTAGTGTTAAAATCAGCCAAACCAGCTGCAGCAATACTCCTTCACATCATTTACATGAGAGCAGGAAGCAAGACCAGCGTAGTGCCTACAACATGGCAAAGGCACATTTCATAATAGGTTTGTGAACCTCTCCAAGACAGTTGTAAATCCTCACTCTCCTCAGCCTGAGGAGGCAAGCAATAGTAATGAACCTGCAAGGTTTGAGAACATAAAAGTTCTTTTGTGAAGCTACACAGGGAAACAGAGCTGGATCCCTAAATCACAAGAAGAAAACTCCAGTTCCTTTGTTCCTGGAAGAGGAAAAGGACAGAGAGCCCAGACCACCTACCTAGATCCACTCTGCGACTGGTAGTAACTGAACCGTTGCGAGAATCTTCCCCTTCCTCTTCGGGCTCGAGCATGTTCAATTGTGACCCTTATGACAGCAACAAAAAAAAACCACCCCAAGCACATAAAAAAAAATTAAAACAACAAACTTCAAGTACTCAACATTGACTTAAATCTTTTCACAAAGCAAATGTGCACAAACAAGAATTATCTTGCCCTTGCATGCAATGATTTATAACACAACCACTGGCATTTCTTAAAGAGCCAGACCAATGTTTTTTCTCATTGGCCTACCTTGGATTTTCATGAAAATTGTACCAAGACTGTAATGCAGACAAACACTTGAATTTGCTCAACCAGAGCCCAGGAGAAAAGAATTCTAAAATAACTTAACAACAACTTAATGACCTAAAATACAGCTTCCATAATCACAATAAAAATTACAGCAACATTCAATGACTATAGATCACCTTACTGCAAACTGAAGTGCAACGATCCAAATGATAACAGGCTATCATCAGCTTATTTTCTGGTCAATAGACAGACAGATACTAAACAAGTTCAATTCACTCTTACTAATATTCCTAATGAGAAGATCCTGAGTTACCTCTGAAAGAGAACTAAGTGCAAGTAGAGAAAACAGTCAGCCCTGCTCAAACCACACTTGCTCCAGTCCCAAACTCATCTTTGCCTTAAATGAGACTGGATACCAACAAATGTCTTTCAAGTTATGGAAGGTATATGCCACCACAGAACCACAGGAAATGGGTGTCAGAGCCCAAGATATTGCACTGCATTTAGATGCAAAGCACTTTTTCTATTCTTAAGGGAAATTATGGGATCACACTTACCTTTCATCACACAGCTCTTTACCATTTAGTTCATAAATTGCATCATCAGCATCCCTGTGGTCTTCAAATTCCTAAAAAGAAAATAGGAATAAAAATGTATTTTCCCTCACAGTATATGCAAACACTAATAAACATGCTTTCTTTATAAATTTTACATTTCCACTGCAAGTACAAGTATCACCAAGATACAGCAAGTACCATCAAGAACTTTGAATAAGGAAGCTAGTTCCTAGTACATTTATGACTGAAAAGCAAAGACGTTCCTATTCATAATTTCTTCTCCCTCCATCCCACGAACTCCTTTTGCCTCCCCAATTGTTTCAATATAACTTATTTGCAGGACCTATTAATTCAATTACCTGGTTTGCTAAGAAATATCTAAATACATTTGGGAAGAAGTTTTCCTCTTTCCACAAAGAGGAAAACTGAATATAATAGCATGAACCGATCAAATGCAGGAGAGTTGTGCACTGCCAAAACTCTCATAAAATAAGTTCTTACTGAACTGGCAAAGAAAGAGTGAACCAGAAAAAAGAGCCCTCCTAATTTTTTCTGAGTGAATTCAATTCACTAGCTGGGCAAAAAGATGCCCTACATGTAAGAAGAGTATGAAACACAAGCCCTTCTCCAGCGCTGGCCACCTGTGGGTCCAGATCAGCTATAACAAGCGTAATTCCATTTACTGCTGCAATGGAATCTGTCACTTGGCTTTTGGCAGACACGCTGCTTTAGTCAGCCCAAGTAGCCTCTGCCCACTATCCAGCCCACTGGTTCTTGGCAAAGCTGCTTGTACAGCTCTGCAGGAAAGTAGGTCAAGAAATCTACCCAGATGAAAAACAGCACACTTTGTGCAGGAGGTGGGGGTCAAAAAGTGCTATTTTTCAACCAGATCAGCTTCTCAGGTAGGTTCGTTATATGTGGCCGGACAACTGCAGCAACACCATGAGAGGCAAGGGGACAAAGGAAAGAAATAAAGCAGAGAGAACAAGCAGCTGGGTAGAGACTGCTGGCAGCAACAGGGCAGACGGAGAGATAAAAAATGTGGAACTGCAGCTTGCAAGGAACGAACAACAGAGAATAAGCTTCTCAAGTTGAAGAAAGTGTTTGCATAACTATAAACTGCTTTTCAGAAGCAATACTGGCTTAAGCAACCTTCCCCCTCCTGCACTGAAATTTGCTTCACTACCAAGCTGAACATCACACATCCTTGCATGATGATGCAAAGATTATCTTAAGACACATAATTTAAGTCCAGCATTTGAAAGTATCAATCCTTGGCAACTACAAGTCCCATTATATCAACTACTTTCTAACAAACTGAACATCTGCACGTCTATCTAGCTTTACGGTTTGAAGGATGAAAACACTATGTCCTGAAATCTACAAAATTTAAGTAAATATAGTTGGTTTCAAAGATTAAGCAATGATTTCAATCGAGCACAACAAAACATGTTTTTAACACTGCAACAATGCTCACTTGGTTTTGTAATGTTTTATAAACACAAGTCTTAAATAACAGAAAGTAACGATGGACTGACAGCAGAAGGCCAGTAGAGTGCCATGAAGGATAATGCCATTCCATGTGTTTATAAATGACATGGATGACAGGATCGAGCACAGCCTCAGCAGTTTTAGGTCTGACATTGAAGTGGGAGGACAAATGGATATACCAGAATGAAAAATCATCCCACACAAAGACCTTAATAGGCTGAAAGATTAAGCAAGCAAGAATCACAAGTCTCAATGAAAGATAAAACATGAAGTGCTGCATGTGGCATAAGACAATCCTAAGCAGCAGAATGCGCTGGGGGCTGAGTGGCTGGAGTGCAGCTCTGCTGAAAAGGACATGGGAATCCTCGTGGAGAGTCAGCTAAGCATGAGTCAGCAGCGTGGCCTCGCTGCAATGACAGCACATCTTAGCCTGGGCTGCATCCGTAGGAGTACAATCAGCAGACCAAGGGGTGCTATTATTACACCCCACTCGGCATTGGTTAGGCCACACCTGGAACACTGGGTCCGGTTTTGGTCTCTCCAGCTCATAAGACATTGAAAAATTGAACTGAGACTAGCAGAGGGCAACCAACACTCATCAGAAGGTTGGATAACAAAGAAACATTGAGAGAGCTGTGTTTGTTCAGCAGGAAGAAAAGGCAGCTTCAAAGGAATACAGTCAGTCTTCCAAAACCTAGAACACCGTTACACAAACAATGGAAGTGATTCCTGATATGGGTCTACAATGATGGGATGACAAGTACAGGAGAAGTTGTTTAGCTGCAAAGAAAAAAAAATTATTCTGAGAACAATTACATTATTTATGTAAATTTATGAGACAATTATTCAAGCTTATTAGTGATCTTTGAAAAGAAAATGGTTCCACCTAGGAACTGGAGGACAGATGACTGACTGACTTGCTTACAAGAGCTGACCAGAAGTTGTTCCTGAATGAATCAACAGCCCTGCTCAGGAAGAGAAGAGGAACACTGAAGGAAAGGGGACCGAGAAATAGCAGCAGTTGGAAAGAGCACTCTAAATATAAACAGAGGCTCCTGTCTACATCAGCCATTTACCTCCAGACTTTTAAGAGACAGGTATTTACCTGCCGGCAGTCAACAAGAAGCAGCTCATAATGCAGGGGAACCAGAAACCATCATGTGTAGGAGTAAAGCAGCAATATTCACGTGAAACCAAAGTAGGCAAAGCCTGTCCTTTTGTTCCTTTCCAATAACTTCACCCAAGGGATTGATCTTGGCAGAGAGGGTGACATGTAAGCCTGCCATTATGTGAGGGCCAGTATCAGCCTTTCAGGTCTGAACTAAGTGTTGCACAACAGCTAATTTGGCAGAGAGGGTGACATGTAAGCCTGCCATTATGTGAGGGCAGTATCAGCCTTTCAAGTCTGAACTAAGTGCTGCACAACAGCTAACTCTCAATTCTCTTGAGATAATAGTTAAAACACAGGCGGATTCTGAGTCAATCTGTGAATCTGTAAAGCTGCAAAATTTGGACATTTAGGAGCACAGAGCTCTAGAAAGCAGTGGTAGGTAACTGAGATACAGTGAACTGTCTATTTAATTTAATAGTCTGACAGACATACATGCCCTATAAACATGTACTGATGATGGATGTGTTGAACTGCACAAGACCTCAGAGCTGTGCTGCTTGGATCCACCAGCCAGCACCTACTACACCTGCTGTCTGAGCCAACTGCTCTGCTTTGATGTCAGGCCATTATTTAAGAAATGTGACCAAGCAGACTGCAAGGGCTGAGAGAGGCGCTTAAGAGGTTCTTATAAACTTTTCTTGCAGTCAAGACTGCAAGATTTTGTACTGCCATAACAGAATATTTATAAAGTCTTCAGAAATGAGGGGTAAATTTTAAACCCACAGAAGACTATGATCAAACACTGTATTTAATGTAGCTGGAATACTACCAAGATTTTGAGCAAAACTGGCCAAAACTGTAACTCAAAATCATGAAAAGCCTTCTGAAATGTTTATTAATATTTTCAATTTCCCACTGCAACTGTTATCTTAAACATCTTCCTTTTCTTGCCATCATCCCAGCAAGGTTAGTCCCTAAAAGTAAGCAAGAGCAAGGAAAACAAAGCTGTTACTTACCACAAACCCAAATCCATTTTTCAGATGGATTTCTCGTATGCGACCATATCCCTTGAAGAACTTCTCCACATCCCGTTCACGAGCACGTGAGCTCAAGTGCCCAACAAAGACACGGCAGCCACTCATCTTAAGGGTGATGCTAAAAAAGAAAACAGCACCCTTTATCAGATTAACAAACTTAAAATAGCGTGATTAAGACCACTTGTACATCTCCGAAATCTTGGTTAAACAGGATTTGATTTTACTGTCCTCCAGGTATACATGTTAAAAGCCTGATTCTCTACAGCCAGAGAAGGGACAAAATCCTGTCTTGCTGACTTCCAGCAGAACCTACAAAGAACTTCAAGGTTAAAATCCCGAAACTGTAACTTCAAAGATTTTACTGGGTTAGCAGCTGCTGGAAAAAAAAAAAAAAAAAGAACAAAATTTGTATGCTAATCATTATATAACAACAAACAACAACAACAAAAAAAACTTTTGTTTTCGTGTAGAAAAATTTCTGCAATAAAATTTTATTAGCACACAAAGATAAATGGTAGTCATAAAATTATCTCGATTTCCAGTAACCATAAATATAAGTTATTTTAACAGTCTATCTGGTTTTGAAGAAGAATTTTGCATTATGAGATTTCAACAATAGCAAAAATAAAAGGCTATTTGAGGCATTCAGATTTTTAAAGCCATCCACTGATCCAGGATATATAATCTGGTATTCTATGTAAAACTCTATCTTTTACCTTAAGGTGTCACATTTTCAGTTTATGTGGTTTAAAAAATTTTAAGATCTCATAACTGGAAAATATTAATTATTTGGCTCACTCAATGAGCTTGCTGTCATAGAAAAAACCAAAGAATTCGAGCCCTAAGGAATGGAAACATGACGCGATCTTGCACTACAATACCGAGGCGGAGGAAACAGACAACATGTCACTTCAGCTGTGAAAATAATTCCAGTCAGTTTGGATGCCGTATTTTGAATGCACGTCATTTACCTTCTCTGTTAACGTGCACCCGTTAGGTTTCTATTGAACACTTTCTTTACTCAGACTCACCATGCCACCAGAGACGTGCGGGAGTTTTGGAAGCCTGGGTACTGGGCTTTTTACGGGGCGAGGGGGTGAACTCTGCACTGACTTAGGCTGGCCTCAACCCCCGAAGCTCGGAAGAGCCCACGCTGCCCTTTGCAGCCATTCTCTCCTTTGTGCTCACCCGTGCATTTCCATGCCCACAGGGAAATCCAATTCAGGGGGCTGGTTCAGCTCCCTCGCGGCGTGCCCAGCCTTCCAACACACGGTTTCCCTGGCGCACCCTTACCGCACAAACGCCGGCCAGACCAGCCGTGGGTATTCAGGGAAAGGCAGGCCCTCGCAGAGGAAGGACAGCCTTACGTAACTGCGTGCTTTAAAACACGGCGAGAACAGCCGCTTTGGCAACAGCGCTCATTTTGGGAACAACGGAGATTTGAAAGATTAAAATGACTGCGTAACTGCTGTTCGATATTTTTAGTTCTAGAAAAATAAAGTGGGGAGAAGAATCACAGAAAGAAATGAATACGGGGTGGGTGGGTGGAACTGATCACCACTGAAACTGCCAAATATACTGCGAAAAGACTCACGAACAACCCATCCGCGCGTTATTTACTCATTATCAAGGAGCACAATGGACGCCAGATCTGTATTGACACCTGCGCGGCGCGCAGCTTCACACGTCGCTCCTAGCACAATGAAATCCAGTTCGCTCGCTGACTACTCAGTAGGTGCGGAAAAGCCCTCGGGAAGGACAGGCCCGAAGCAAGCGGCCATCTGCTCCTCCCTCCCTCCCTCCCTTCGAGAAGCCATGAAGATCCGGGACTGCGCCAGGCCTGCGGCCTGCCCGAGGCAGCCGAGCCCTCTTCACGGGCCCGCCGCCATGGCGGCGCCGGCCCACGCAGCGGCGCCGGCCCCTTCGGCTCTTCGAACCTCGGCGCTCGCCTCCAATCCGCGACGGCTCCTCCCGGCCATCCCGCCGGGATCAGCCCTCCCCGCTCGCGGCAGCGATGGATGGCGGTCCCCCCCCCTTCCTCCCCCCGGCCGCGGCCCCGCCGAGCGCCCGGGCCGAACCCCGCCGGTGGCTCCCCGCGCCCGCCCCGGCCCCCCCGCGGCGGAGGGGCGGCCACGCACCGTCGCGGAGCGGCGAGTCTCGCTGGCCGTGAGGGAACCGCTCTGCGGCCGCGGCGACAATGGCTGCCGGCTGCTCCACCGACCGACCGCCGCGCGACCGCCGCGCCTGCGCACAGCCGCCCGCGCAGCCCCACCCGCAGCGCGCCGCGCGGCACGACGGGAGATGTAGGCGTGGGGGGGACAATGGCGGGGAGCTTAGAGAGCGGCCTGCTGCCAGCCGCGCCACGGACAGGGACATTCCCTCTAGAGCGGGGTGTTCAGAGCCCCGTGCAGCCTGGCCTTGCACACTGCCAGGGACGGGGCGTCCACAGCTTCCCTGGGCGGCCTGTTCGTGCTGAACTGCCTGTGACTTTTTGTCTAAGACATGGCGAAAGGGATGGGTACCAATTGTGCTTAACCAGCGGAGGGGAGAAGGGATAGTTCGTGTGGAGCGTGGCGCTCGGCAGCTCGGCCCTGCCAACAGAGTTGTGCCGCGGCCAGCCCCTCGCTGCCATCTTCCCTTCGCCCCGAATCTGCTTTGGACCACGCCGCAGTGTTGTTAATCGCCGACACCAGGGGGAAACCTTGGCCGGGAAAGGCGACTGCTGAAAATCCAGGCCTGTGTGCAGAAGCAGTTTTTCCATGAATAAACAGCACATTCCTGCTTCTTCAGTGTCAGATATAGTCACTTTATGGACTTCTTACAGAGTAATTAATGACGGTTTACAGTATGATGACCAAGATGAAATTTATCTGTTTTGTCAATGCTTGTTAAGTCTTCACTGTCCCAATGCTTAAAATAAAACTACAGTTTGGTCTGCCTATTTCCCCCCATGTCTGACAGCATCATGTCTGGATTTCCTGTTTTAACTTGGAGTAAATATCTAAGTTGCACTTATGATATTGTATGTTAGATTCAGGCACCATTCAAATTTATTGCCCTCTCTAGGAGGGAAGTAACCTATACATTAAACATCCACATAATAAATAGAATATTTTAAGTTGGAAGTGATCCTTTGAGATCATCTGGTCTAATCCCCCAAGATTGCCCAGGACCATGTCCAGCCAGCTTTTTGGTATCTCCCAAGATGTAGCCTCCACAAGCTCTCTGGACAACCTGACCTAGTGTTTGGCCACCCTTAGAGCAGGAAAAAAAAAAAAAAAAAAAAAAAAAAAAAAAAAAAAAAAAGTATTTTCTTGTGTTCAGATGAAGCATCATGGGTTTCAATTGTCAGTGGATGCTACTGAGAAGAGTCTGGCACCCTCCTCTTCATTCTTCCTTCCTATTCAGGTATTGATACACATTGGGCCTTCTCCAGACTGAACAATCCCAGCTCTCTTGGCCTCTCCTTATATGAGAAGTGCTCCAGTCTCACAGTCATCTTTGTGGTGATGTGCTGGATTGGCTTCAGTAAGTCCAGGTCTCTTTTGTGGACATAACACTCCAGATGTGGCCTCCCCAGTGCTGTGCAGAAGGGCAGAATCACCTCTCTTGACCCTCCAGTGATGCCCTGGCTAGTGCAGCCGGAGCAGCCCAGGATGCTGACTGTTGTCACAAGGCAGCTGATGTGAACTCTTACTTGGTAGGAAAATGGAGAAATGTGACAACAGAACACAGCTAGCTGTGGTTCAAATAGAAAATGGGGGTAGCTATAGATGGTGCAAGTATGTCTTACAACTCTGAATACAATGTGTGGTTGTAAGGCTGCTTTACTGCTTTATTTGATAAGACAGTCCAGGACACTCAAAAGGCAGTGCTTTTTGTGCAAATTCTGTGTAGGTGGCAGAGCTGGACTATTACAGGAGCAGCAGTAGAGTCTTTGTGTGACTGTGTGCTTGAACTGCTGTTTTAAGAAGCTCAGAAGCAGAAAAAAGCTGCTTAAGTGGCAGTCTTGGAATGGTATGGATGTAATAGGGATTGGAGTTACTGGCAGTAATGAAGATAAGTCATGCTAGAAGCCCAATTAAAGATTTTTGGTTTTATCTTGCTTCTCTTCAGCCTCTGGGATGGTGTCAGCAGGGAAGAATGCAGCTGTGCATCTGGAACACAGCTCCAGCTGCTCCGGTAGTGCCTGAGCCAGCCTGGAGTCCTGCTTTCCCTTTCTTGGCTGTGGACACTCTGCATGGGTGGTAAAAGGCATGAAATACATCAGTAGGAGAATCTGCAGCATTGCCTCTTGTGTGTGGGTAGTGTTTCTGGAAGCCATCACGTGCAAAATCAACTTTAATAATAATGCTGTCATTTAGTTCCCTCATTATTTTGCTTGCACAAAAAGATGGGTCTCTCAGAAGCACATCTGAATGCTCACTGGGAACTATTACTGTCCTGACTGCACATCTGCAAATGTAAACATACACTTATCTGGAATCAGAATACTTAAAAACCACAATCTGTTTATTGTTGGGGTAAATTAACCTCTTTTCTCACTTCCCTGAAGACGAAATGTTATTTTCTCTGTCCCAGAAAGCAGGATGCTGTGGCTCAGCACCACAGATTAAATATTATAGTCTATTGATTAAGGAGTGGAAGTCTTCATTAAAGTGATGGTGATGATGATGATGATGCTTGAATGTGCTTAATAATAAGGGTATAAAATGCTTTCTTAACTCTGCAGATTAAAGTAGTCCTTATTTTTAGGCAGAACTATACAATGAAAGTCACAGGGTCATTAAAAAAAAAAAAAAAAAAAAAAAGCCACAACAACAATTAAGAATCTAGGGGATGGTCTGAGAAAAGGTTTCAACTACTTGGAGGATGACTGCAGCACTCAGAGTGGAAGGTGACAGAGCTGGACCAGTTCATTGCTCCACCATGAACCTTCCTGAGCACCACAGGCAGGTCAGCCCTGGCTGGAGACAATAACCACTGCAGCACTTTACAGGTGCCAGTCACCCAGAAAGAATCCATCCTGAGGAGGGATGAAGTGTTGACTTTGCATTACTCTCCTAATGTGAAGATATTTTAGGCAATATGGAGCAAATGGGTGGCAAACCCACCTTGAAACTTGGCAAAGGAAGCAGCCAGACTTGCTGGTTTGTACTGCTCTTTTTACATGAGGTGAGATTTGTGGCCCCTGGTGATATGGGCTGTTTGCAAAAGGCGTCCTTGGGATCTGAAGGGGACTGTCCCATGGGACCAGGTGTCCAATAGTTTCAATCTCCCACTCCAAACATGTCCCAGAGTAGAAACAGAGGTGTGCAGAGAATGTTTAAGTGCAACAGGGAAAAGCCTGCTGAGCAATACCTCCAGACCTGAGCACCAGTTTGGATTGCAACTGTAAATAAAGGCTTCATATTTCTACCTTCTAGCGACATCTAGCCCTTTTCCCCCTGTGCCTTGTCTATCTGCACAGTGGGAGTAACTGGATCTAGTAACAGTAGATGCTTGCTGCAGCAGCAGTGAGAGATCGTGCTTTTGCAGACAGTCTGAGGGTCGTGGTCACTGAGGCAGGATGGTAACTAGAGGTCCTCAATATTTTGCTTGAAGGCTGGCTTGGCCACCAGGATGTGAACTACTGACTAATAGAAAGCAGGTGTAAAGAGACTTGCTGAGAAAAGATAGTGAAAGGAGGTAGTGCATTTTATGCCAACATATTTTCATGTATGTATGTCCCAGAAGTCAAAGCAGAGAACAAAACTGAGGCCCTATTTCCTGGCTGTTGCATGGTATTCAAAGATGGGAAGAATCTATTTTAATATCTTATTGGTGAGATCTAGTCTGTAGTAGCTCTGAGTCCTCAGAATAGATTATTTTTATCCTGTAATTTTCAGTGGGTTTAAATTGCTGAAATTTAAATCTATCTGAAATAGCCTTAGAGCATCCCTCCCTGTACAAGATGCAATCGTCCAACTTCATCCTTTGTAATGGCTGACTTCTCTACTGACTGCAGCACTTAGCACATTTTCTCAGTGTCTGCTGGCAAATGTTCTGATTACCTGTTTACATCAGGATATGCCCTAGACTTTGCTAATCCATGTTTACTATGCTAAGACTTTCCCAGCAGCTTAGTGCTAATGCAGCAGATTTTAAGGGTTTGCACAGTAGCAACTCTTTCAGTAGCCAGAGCCACCTCAAGGGTTTAATTAATTCAACAGGATTAAGTTTTTTCTTAATCTGTCCTGCCTCAGTATCTGTAGTGTGAGTAATGTTGTACAAATAATCTTCATGTTGTGGTATGAAATTTATATTTGCATTCTGTTTTCATAACAAAGACATTTTAGTTCAAGCTGTTCCTTTTCACAGCCATTACAACCCCCCACCCACTGCTTTATTTCCCTGATAAGACCAGTCAGTCTGATTCGTCTGGATGGAATCTCCATGGATATAGGAATACTTCTTTGAAACCAAGTTCATTCAAGGTTGCAGACTAGTTTCCTTTCATTGTCTTCTGAGACTCCTGGCTCTGCTCCTGCACTCTGCTCCAAACCAGATGCTGGCAGCACCGAAGACATGCAATGGTCACAAGATTTGAGAGGCTTTGGGAAATGTGGTTGACGTTCTGGCAGGCAAGACAAGATCTGTGTTGTTTGAGCACTGAAGTGTTTTCTGCCCCTGTACTGTCAGACAGTCGGGCTGTATCAGGCAGGTCATTGAGATCTCAGCAGCCAAAGATATCAACACTCATGAAAGGACTTTCTTGGTTAATGTCTTCAAAAACTGGAATTTCAATTTCCACACCTGAAATAGTCAGGATGGGAGACTGACAGAAATGGTTTGCCCCTGAATGGAAGGAGTGAGCTTGAAGTGGATTGTCCACTTTTTCTGTTCCTGGCAGACAAAGGGGCAGTCAGTCACTGACCTGCCACAGCTGCTTCCAGAGGAATTTCTTCAAGGCTGATGCCAGGCCTTGGCTAAAGAATGGCATGTTAGCTGCAAAACCATGAGCTTAATACCAAAAGCTGCTTTCACATTTCAGCATACTAAGTGCCACAGACTGTTAGGCCACACAATAGCAAGGTAAATCTTGTGCTGCAAATGAGGAAGGTGAATGTTTTGCAGCAGGTCATGTAAGCTCTCGCCAGTTTGTCGGAGGCTGTGCCACCTGAGAAGAAACATGCCAGTATATTTTAGGCACACCTATTGCCAGTATTTTTAACCCTATTCAAGTGTTCAAGTACTCAGAAGCACAGGCCAGACCCTT